TGGCTCCTGCTGGGCTCCCCTGCTCACTGCCGGCTGCTCCTCATGACCTTCACCAGGAGCCGTGGTGCTGGTAAACACGGCATTTCAAGCTCAGGAGGGAACCAGCCTTTCTCATGGAGACAGAAGGGGTAGTTTGGTCTCTGTTCCTGGGGGAAGAGGACAGCAGTGCGGGAGGCAGAACCGCTCGCTCTGTGCTGGACGGGCACGTGCAGGCACTCCTGGAGGAAGGGTCTGCAGCGCACAGGGGTTTGCAGACCTTCATGTAGCCCCGCAGCGCAGGTACTCACTGCTGCGCATGGCGGTGGTGCTGGACCTCGAGCTCTGCCGGTGACCTGAGTCGAAGCGAGTCCCCCTCCCACGCAGCCACCCCGCACACGGCGCTGCCAGCACGTCTGGCACCGGCACCGGCACCTCTGCCTTGCACGGGAGGCTCGTCGGGACAGCCTGGGGGATGCTGGTGTCCTTGGAAAGGTGGCACTTGGGAGATCTAACCCGGGAAGTGACCTGGAATGCTTGGATATTGCTGCTGCTATGCCACTGGTGGGGCAGGACAGCTCTGCAAAAGCTTTGACGCCGTGCACTGATGGCTGACGGCTTCATTAGGCTTGGCTTAATGAACCTGCCTTATCCCCTCAGTGCTCCTGCTTGGGCTCCATCCAAGCCGTGGGGAGATCAGAGGCATTTTTCTCCCTACCACAGTGCAGGCAGCGATGGCTCGAGGGGGCGGGCGTGTTTGCTGCAGTCGGTGAGAGGTAGCGCGATCTGCCCCGACTTGAGGAGAGCCTCTTGGTGGCGGCTCCTCATCATCTCCCAGGCGCGAGCCCAGGGCACGCACCGGGCACGTCCCGCCCCACGTGACCAGCAACCCGGTGGCTCCGGTGCCCAAGAGGATGGTCCCAGTACCGACCCAGGTGCATGGACCCTCTCACAGCTCTGTCTGGAGCTGGCCGAGAACATTCCCATTCAGTCCTGCAGCCTCTTTGGACAGCACTCCTCTCTGTTTTGCACTTGAAGAGCTGACTGCTAATAATTTTATTTTGTTTCTTCTTTCTGAGCTAATTTTCTGACTCATTGTGGGATTTTTTTGGCTTTGTTTTTGTTAATCTGGTTGGCATTTCGTGGTTTCTTTGTTCGTTATGTGATGGGGCTATATAAGGGATGTGTGTCTGGAATTCAGGTATCCTCTGCACTGTGCTTCCTGCTATCTCCTCCATCAGCAATTATGCTGAAGGCTGTTAGATGCATTTGGCATGAGCTAACGTTAATAAATCTGGGTTGTTAATCACCCAGACATCTCTGCTGAGTCTCTGCATACTGATGTGCATGTGCTCGGATCGCTTCCCTGGAGGCTCTGGGAAGTGCAGCGGTTCGATGACCTCCCCCAGCCCGTCGCCGTCGCCTCGGGCTTCTCTGGCCGGCGGCACCGTCTGGCCCATGGTTGGGGTGGGCAGCAGAGCCCCCGGCCTCTTCGGCCCTCATGCTGCCCACTGCTCCAGCAGCAAAGAGCTGCGGGACTGAGGAACAGGCAGAAAATGCCCCCAAATTGCAGCCACCTCTTTTGGGATGTCACACATTTAAAGGGTGCTCTTCCCAGGCCACCGCTCGGGGCCCATCTCTGCCCCCATGCAGGGACAGAGGTCCTGGTTTGGGCTCCTCCTCGGTGCTGAGGATCTGGAGGCAGGCTCTACTCAGGACGCAATTCCCAAGCAGCAATGATGTGGCTGAAGACAAATGCCCTGTATGTCGAGACCCAGCAACATCTGTTCACCTGCACAGCTGGCTGAGACGTCTTCCCTCGAGCTGCCCCCACAAAAGCAAAATTGGGTAAATGCTGTTTCCAGACCTTGGCAAGATGAACCCCCAGGTGCTGCAAGGCGCCTGGTGTGCGTGGTTTGGCACCTGCCCCCTCTTGCCCCCGTTCCCGTGCCTTTCGCGGCTCGGACAAGGACTCGTAGCTTATCCATGCAGGCTGCTCCTCGTGGGGCACCGGTAAGAGCCTTGCTCAGGCAACGGGGCAGGCGTGCGAGGCCCTGAGTCCTGCTCGGGCACTGATAATGCTGGCTTAGATAGTGACGTCCTGAAGACGTACTGCTGTCGGCACTTGCATCATGCCCATGTAGGGGAGAAAAACTCGGTGAGTGAGACAGAGATGCTGCACTTGACAGCCCCGAGGAAAGCGGCCAGGCCGCGGTGCAGGCCGCGGTGCAGGCTGTGGTTCAGGCTGTCATCCAGGCTGTGATTGAGGCTGTTGTTCAGGCTGTGTCTCAGGCTGTTGTTCAGGCTGTGTCTCGGGGCTGGAGGCAGCCAGCTGCGTGGTGGGGGGTTGGCAACACCCCAAGGCGTACGAGAGGAGAGCGGCTTCTATGGGAGGGGGTCATTACAGAGAAAGAACACACATCTAATGAAAGGAAGGAAAACTGCTCTCCGAGGTCTCAAGGATGGACACAAGCTGAAAGGACTTCACGTATTCAGCCGCAACAGAGGGAGCAGCGGGATCCCGGGGTGCCCTTCCCTCCCAGCCGCCTCCGGAGCAGCCGCCGGCGCCGCGGAGCCCGGCCAGGACTGGCGCCCGCACCCGGAGCAAGGCTGCGCCCGGCTGGCCCCGGCCCAGGGCCCACCGCGAGGAGCCACGTCTCCTTCCAGGAGCGCAGCGAGAGTCTCTACGCAGCCCCTGGAAGGCATCCCTGCTCGTCTTGTTGCTATGGTTATTTTATAGAAGCTGGAAAATATAACATGCAGGTGGAAAGAACATAGAAAGATGCATCTCCACCCAAAGAAATTGCCTTTTAGCCATCTGTGTGCACAAGGCTTTATGCAGGGGAATATGAAAATAGAGAGAATGGCAACACGCCGAGGGCAGGTATTAGCAGAATCGGGGCCCAGATTAGCAGTGCGGTTTTGAACTGTGGTTTTAGCCTTTCTTGATCTAACCCCTCCAGGGTTTCAGAGCGCGGCCGCAGGGCTCGGCCGCGCACGGAGCTCGGTGCCACCCGCAGCCGCGCTGGGAGCCTCGGCCTCGCGCGGGGCCGGAGCCGGCGGGCACAGCCGCACCTCGGCACGGGCACCACGTCCCCACCGCGGCCAGGCAGGAGCCAGCGCTTCGCTTGCTTTCGTTTCTTTTGCTTTTGCAGGGTGGTTATGAGAGCCCCAGAAAGTTCATCCAAAGCTGTAAAACAGAGCAAATAAGGGATGTGTTTCCCCAGGATGATATCTTAGATTGCATTTTTTTGAGAGTGCACCATTTTCAGGAGGTATTGGTGCTGTTTTTTGATGAACATTGAATCAGTTGAATAGCTGTGAGCAGCAATAAGCCCCTGGATCTCTGCTAGGCGAGCTTGGTGCCCCAGAGGCAGGCAGGGATGCCACGGCTCCCGCAGCTCCGCTCCGCGGTGGGGACAGGCGCCCTCCTGCTCACCTACTGCCGCTCGGCAGGGTCCTACCCCCCTGCAGATCCCCGCTTGAAGCCTTGTCCCCACAGGGGTCCTGCAGGAAAACACGGGGGAAGCCCAGAGGCCGAGGCCAGGCCTCCCACCCGGCACGAGCAGCACAGCAGGACCCGCTCCAGCCCGGCCTCCAGACCCCGGAACACGGCTCTTCTCTCAGGTTGGTCCCTTAAACAAGTGCTTTCCAGGACTTTTTCTGAACCACTCATGGTTATCCTGTCTCATACACCTGGCTGCTGGAGATGATGTTCCGAAGGGTATGGATTGTTTTACACTCTATGGGGAAAAGCATCTCAGGCTTGGGAGGATGTTTATGTGGAAACTGGTTGAGACCTTTCTGTGGTGGGACCGGAGATGTCCACACCGACAGTCACCTTTGCATAGGGAAGAAATAATGCCTTAAAACCCTGGAATGCTGCATGGTGGCCTGAGAGCCATTCACTAACCATTGATGAGGAATGAGGGGTGGCAAAAAGGAAATGAGAGTCCTATTGTAATAAATGACTGAATGATATCCATTAATTACAGCTGCTTTTAACATTCGGGAATAGTTCAATGATGCTCTCAGACTGTAGTGAGGGCAGTGCCAAGCCGGGCTGAGAGCTGGGCCTAGGGCTGGGCCTAGAGCCGGGCCAAGAGCTGGGCCGAGAGCCAGACCTAGAGATGGGTCTAGAGCCAGGCCGAGAGCTGGGCTCCCGCAAACTCGGGCTCCAAGTGCACTCGGCTTTCACAGCTGTGCTTTAATCAAGAGAGGTCTGTTTGGGTTTTCTTCCAGCCAGCGCAGTTTCCTCTGCATTTCAGGCAGGAGAAGGGATTAGCTGCTGCAGCTGACCTGCACCAGTGTCCCCCAGTAAGCACTAAAGCAGGTTCCTGTTGTACCTTTCCATTCCTCCCTCTCTCATGCACTAAATCATGCCTCGTTTCCCTGCTCCCTGTGGATGCAGCCCCAGCAGCGCTAGCCCGAGCAGCAATTTCCCTGGACGTCAAAAAAAACCTTCCCCTTGCGCTAAGTCAACACTGTTGTTTAAGTGAAACTCTCTTACAGCAATTAATAATTACGGAGAAAGATTTAATTGTTTGGCTGATGAATGCTGCAGCCCTGACGAAACAGACCATGGCCTTTAGTTCAGTGCCATTGTAGCTTTATTTGATGAATTAATACAGTTATAATGAAAGCTCAAAGAGCTTCTCCATGGACTGGCTGAATGAGGATCTGTCTCAAAGCTGCTGTTCTGCTCCAAAATGGGGCCGTGGTGACAAGCCCCGCAGTCGCAGGCTCTGCCGCCTTGGGCTGAGCAGTGGTGGGGATGTCCTTGCTCTCAGCCCTGTCCCCTGGCTTGGCTCAGTGCTCTGTCTGCCAGTGCCACCAGCGCCAGAGTCCACCCCATGTCCTGCCTTCCCGGTGCATTTATTCACACAGTTTTGGCAGCAGGATTAAATTCCTCCCCTGACTCTACCACACATGGAGACCCCTCTGGAGACCTCCCCGCTCCGTGGTGGCCGCCGAGCCACCTCCAGCCGCTGCCGTTGCAGCCCAGCCACTCGCTCCCGCTCCTCTGCTGTTCGCTTAGCTCTGCTATGGCTGCTCTGCTTTTACTTTTGGGGTGCTTCGCAGCTGTTTCTTCTACAGATCTAGAGAAAGAGCAACACTACCTTAAGTCAATACTGCTGTTGACTGTACCATTTACCTTGAGTGCTGTAGAGACACCTTGGTGTAAGTTACCTGGAGAAACTCTGCCGGGATTGAGACAACCTGGGATATCAAAGTTCTTCCTTCAAACACACGTCAAAACATGCAACTCCTGCTGCTCTGCCAGCGACCCTGGAGTGTAAGGCAGAGGTTACTTGGATGGTTCCATGGCACGTGGTAAACGTGTGCTACCGTGAGACAAGCAAGCAACACAGGAAAAGTTGCTATAAGCAAATGAGAGTCTCAGGATCACCTGGGAAATGCCCTTGAGGTCCCCTGAATCCAGCTGACTCACCCCACTGCTCTGCTCACAGGTCTGTGTTACCTGTCCGGACATTCACAGTGGAGCAAAAGGTGTGTGAGGAAGGCGCCTTCTTGCAGCTGGTTTGCTCCATCCAGGCCTCGCGGCACGACATGATCACGGGCGCCAGCACATGGTCCTGCGTCTGCGGCACCTTTTGGAACATGCAGAGCAAGGACTTGAGCTCGGAACGGAAGCTCTCGTTCAGCCAGCAATAGATGAAAGGATTGTAGCAGGTGCTGCTCATGGCAAACCAGTGCAGAGCAAAATAGAGAGAGTTCTTCGTCTTGATACCCAGGCTGGAGATGAGCACGACGTAGCAGTTGAGGGGGAACCAGCAGACAGCAAAGACCACCACTACCAGCACCAGCATCTTGATGCTCTTCTTCTTGTTCCTGTGGTGGGTGATGTACTGCTGCGTGGTGATGTCCCCGATGGCGTTGCGCAGCCACAGCTTCTTGGCCAGGCGTGTGTAGGTGACAGTGATGATGAGCAGGGGCAGGAGGTACAGGAGGAGAAAGGTGGACAGGTCCAGGTACTTCCAGACCAGTTCTGCAGGCTCAGGAAAATCAGGGAGGCACAAACTCCGCACAGTGGCTTCCCTTGAAAGCAAAGAGATGGACAGAGCACAATGATGTACAGAGCACGCAGGTGTACAGAGCACACAGGTGTACAGAGCACGCAGGTGTACAGAGCATGCAGGTATATAGAGCACACAGACGTACAGAACAGGCAGATGTATAGATGTATAGATGTATAGATGTACAGAGCACGCAGATGTATAGAGCCCGCAGGTGTACAGAGCACAATGATGTACAGAGCACGCAGGTGTACAGACCACACAGGTGTACAGAGCAGGCAGATGTACAGAGCACACAGACGTACAGAGCACACAGACGTACAGAGCATGCAAACATACAGAGCGCGCAGCTGCTGCTGGCACTGCCGGAGGCTGCTAACTCGGCAAACCACAGCAGGGCCTTCACGCTCCCCACAGACATGTCCTTGTGGCTTAAAACTGACAGAAGAGGCCAAACACAAATAATCTCACACTGGACAAAACTAAACTAAAACTCCATTTCCCACTAAGCGTCTTGCCTGTGTTTCTGTGTCTCTCTCTGCCCCGGTGAGGGCAGGACTGGCTCCTGTGCACTGCTGTTCCTGCCCCTCGATTCCTCCTGGAAGCTGAATGCAGGAAGAAAGGGGCAGCGAGTGACACCTTCCCGGCTCGGCTGCATTTCAAAGGCGATTCCTACCCAGCCTTAAAGAGGATGATTATATCAGCATTTGAATGTGCCCACCCAGGAGTCCAGCCCAGCGCATGTCCCCACTGCCAACAGGCTGTGCCAGCGCCGCTGCCCAGGCAGCACGCAGGGGTGCAGGGGTGCAGCCCGAGGGCGGGGGTCCTGCAGCAGATCCTGCAGCAGATCCTGCAGTGTCCCTGCACAGCTCCAGTCCGACGCGCAGCACGGCTGTCCGGTCACAGCACAGACACGCTCCTCTTTCCAGGAAACCCTGGGGCACGCAGGAGCTCTAAGCCAGCAGCTAGAAGCTGCTAAACCCACTGGGAAATCAAGGCCATCCCAAATGCGAGAGGAGGAGCTTGCAGGGATGGAGGTCGAGGAGCAGCATGATAGAGGCAGGAACCCAGAGCAGAGGGCTCCAGGGCCTGCTCACAGCACCACTTCGTGGCCTCTGCACCACATTTTCTTGAGCTGTTCAGCCAACCAGCTGTTAAAATGTTGCAGCTCCATCTAATAAACACATCCGTGCACCTGAACAGATCACCTTTTATCAGCAGGCAGGCTCCAGCCTACAGAGCTGCCCTCGGCTCACATACCTCAACACCATCTGGAAAGGACTGAGTGTTCCTTCCACATGCCACAATAGACAACTGGAAATAATGAAAACATCAGAAGGGGCACTCACAGATTTATTTTTTGAAGGTTCTTTCTTCTTTCCTTTCCTTTCTTTCTTTTTATTCAGCTATTCCACTTTGCCCTTCCTTCTTCATAACTTGTCTGCAGTTCACTCGTATTCCTCACATGTTTTAGTCTCCATCAAGCTGTGTTCTTTGTTGCAGTATTGATTAATATCTTTAATATCCTGTTGTGAACCTCCTCAGCTAGCTTTTGTGCCACAGAGAGAAGGCTGCTGGAAGGGGGCTGCTGTGAGTAGGGATGGCATGTGTGTGCCCTGGGATGACAGAGGGCACAGGGGTGTCACCAAAGCGCACTGGCTGCCGAGGACTTGGGTGACTCTTGCCGAGCAAGGAATTGATGCAAAAGAGAAAACATGCCTTTGAGAAATGCACTTTTGGCCTTTTTCTCCCCAAGACCGTGCTGGCGGCTGGCGCACGAGAGGCAGGGCCGGGCTGGATGACAGCTGCGCCTGTCTGCTGGGTCAGGCACTAAGAATAACCCTGCGCTGGCGCGGGAGGCATGTGCGGCGCCGGGCAAGGGCAGCGCCATGCAGCGCACCCGCTGCCGCGGCCGGGCTCCAGCTCGCCCCGCAACCGCTCTCCAAATGCGGCCAAGAAGCGAATACTTACAGAAAGAGCACAGTAGCTGTCCTGTCTCCCCCGTAACGATCTGAAGGAAGCACATGGGAAGGTTGGGGAGGCTCCCAATGACTTTGGGGAAGGGGCTGACTGAGGGCAAGAGCCGCCAGACCGCAGGGTTTTGGTGAACGCTGGGGTTGCTGTGGCTTTGGCCACGCCGCTGCGCCCGCGGCAGGGACACGGGCTGCTTGCGGAGCCCGACGTCCGCGCCCTTCGAGGCAGGTGCCTGCCTGGGGATAGCTCAGGAGCGCTCAGCAGCACGAGGCCCATCACGAGCACTATGTCAGCTGCGGTTTTACTGAATGGACAAGTGATGAGACTAATGCGTCCCGTGAGTCCCTACGTTGCTGCCCTGGTGCCAAGCCAAGGTCAGGTTCCTCAGGACGGGGACGAGCAGGGACAGGTGCAGCGTAGGAGATAGCAGCATTTGTTCATTCATGAGCAATTTGCTCAGCGATCCTCTGCAGGCAGCTGCAGAGTGAGGCGAGTACTGGAGTAACCCAGTACTTTGTTTACCAAACCGTGACAGTTACTGTGTCCCCAGGAAGACATCACTCAGTGATATCAAGTCAGTTAGGGGCACAAGGGAGAAAGCAAGGGCTCCACTCCCATTTCGTGTGGCCCCTTGTACACTGGCAGCAATCAATAGCCCGTGCTGATAGTCCTGCACGAGGGACCGCTGCTCACAGGAGGGAAGCGCAGGGCTGCAGAAGGAAGCACAGAGCTTGGTGCAACATTTCCACCATGGCCATGTTCCCTGTGCCGCAGCTGCGGCCTCCCTGCTCCGCTCCTGGAAGACGGCTCTCGGGAAAGCCACTCCGCACCGGGACTCTTCTCCCTGGGGACGGCGGCAGCAGCAGCACCCTGGGGAACGCCGGCCCGTGGCGCCAGCTGCGCTGTGGCTGCCTCCGAGTCACCAAGTCACCAGTGTCACCAGTGCCGCAGGCCGGGGCCGCCCTCCTCCCTCCTTCATTCAGCGGGCGGAGGATCCCTGAGCTCTGGGGAAAGCTGATCCTGCTTCATAAATCCAGATAGACAAAATGCCAAGAAGCTCGAATAAGCCGGTCCCTTCAGCTCGTGAGGCTGAACTCCCCGCAATGCACAGCGCCTGGCCCTGCAGGTCCTGCCAGCGCGGCCTCGACGACGGAGCACATGGGCTCCCGCGGCAGGGCTCCTGAGCAGCATCTCCCTCCGCCGGGGACAAAAGGCTGAGGGCCGTGGCCATGGCCACGTGTCGCCAGCACCAGTGACACTGTCGAGGGGAGACGGGGCCAGCACGAGCACACCGAGACCCGCAGCACTCACTGCACCAAAGCCAAGAAGCCTTCACCGCAGCCGAGCCTCGGCTTTGGGGAGCCAGGTTTCACCCACAGAAACGCTCCCACCATTTCCACTATGTTCTCGCCTCCTTCCCCAGCCCTGGGAGCCCCCCAGCAGCTGAGAGGCTTCAAGGATGGCCCCCGATGGGGCCTGGCGTGCAGGCAGGACACTCACCTGTAGTTGTACTGGAAAAGCTTCTGGTAGATAGCGTGGGGCAGGGAGAAGCAAGTCGCCATCAGCCAGATAACAAAGATGCTTAATGCGCCTTTTGTCAGCGACATCCTTTGCTTCAGTGGGTTCAGGATGACCTGCAAGAAAGACCCTTCACAGTGACTCTTCCTCACCTCGGGGAAAGCAAATCCCTGAACCAATGCACAGCACAGACATTTTGTTACACGATCCAGCGCTATTAAGAAAATCACAGCCACCACTAGGAAAATCATCCTGCTTATTAGGGTGACCGAGAGAAAAATGAAACCTTGAACTTATCTGTCTGTTCAGAACTGCTTCCAAATGAACTTTTCCTCTGTTTTGTTCTGAGAATCATTTTCTTTAAATCATGGATTGTATTAAGTAAGGGAAGAAAACTATGTGAGTCTCTTCACTTTTGGGTGTGTTGGCTTATTTTACATGAATCATCTAAAGAAGCATCTCCTGTTCTAGCTAAACCCGTAAATCAGATCTCGCCTCCCTTGTCTGGAGTCATTAATTTCCCTTATAGGAAATTTCATTAGTTAGAGGACAAGATGAAGAGCTTATAAAACTCCCAGGTCTGGAGAGGACTATTTGGCCCATAGGGAGCTATTGTACAGAAAGAGCGAAGAGTTGCTAGAAATAAGCACACAGCCCAGTCTATATTTCTTTTTGTAATAAATTGTTTATTGCAGTGAAGAAAGGATACAGTTTGGCTGCAATCCCCAAAAATATAAACAGACACTGGGGAGAATCTTCTCCTAGCTCAGATGTGTCCTTCCAATATTTCCAGCAGAAATGTCTTCCTCCACCATACATTTTTATACTGTTCAAGCATCAGTCCGAGAGCTCTGCCCTGGGACCTTAATCTCAAAATTACTTTTTGTTCCCTAATACAATGAGCTGAGAATTGCTACCAGCTCGAACTGCCCTGCAGCTTTATGAGGCAGCAAATGCTCAGTGGAAAGGAAGAGCAGAAGAGCAAACACGACTGTGTCAAGACTGAAGCTCAGGATCCTACAATGAGTGGTTATGGTTTTTGGAAAGAGAAGGAAAAAAAGCTTTGCAGAATTTCCTGCACAGCTAAAATGACACCTGGCACGTGGCAGTGGCTCTGCCATCTTTCCAAACCCACCATTGAAAAGGCAGCCTCTTGAAACCATCTTTCTCACCATACCTTAGGAGCTAGGTTAGACCTGGCTTTTAGACAATTGCTTGGCCAAGGCATCCCCATCCTCACCCCTTTCCACTGAAATGCGAGACCATCCTGGGGAATCAGGTTTTATTCCTCCTGTTGGGTGTCCAGACAGTCAGCATCTCCCTCTGAATCTAGCTCTGGAGCTGAACTCTGGAGATATTTAACCCTGAACCCACAACTCAACCCAACCCAATGGTGATGTGTGGGGACTGCTCGAAGGCAGCTGCGACCACGCGGTGTTTTACCTGGTGCCTGTCCACGGCGATGGCTGTCAGGGTCAGCGTGGAGACGTGCAGCGAGCAGTACTGCACAAAGCGGCTGATGTGGCACATGGCCTTGCCAAAGATCCACGTGCTGTTCACAAATCGAACCTGAGGGGAGGGGAGAGAGAGATGCCATCAGCAAGCCGACAGCAAGCCAAAACACAGCATCTAGCAGAGCAAGGGGAGGATATAGACCGCTTAAGGGTCTTGACCTGCCCGGCACAGTTGTCTATGAGACCTGGTTGTGGTGGCCTCGTGGCTCGGTCCCCACGGTGCACGCACAGGGTGTGACTATTGGGCAGGGCATTTCTGTGCCAGGCATCCTGCCCGGCCGGCAGGACAGCACCGCGCGCCACTCACCAGGGTGAAGGGAGTGTTGAGCAGCGTGATCATGATGTCTGACACTGCCAGGTTGACGATGAAGAGGCTGGTGGCCGAGTGCATCCTCTTGTTCTTGAGCACCACGTGGCACACTAGCATGTTCCCGAAGAGGGACATGATGATGATCACTGAGTAGGCCACAATTAGTAGAGCTTTCACTGTTGGTTTCTGGGATTCTGGCTCATATTTAGCCAGCTCAGCAAATTTTTCCCACTCAACAATTCGGCTGTCTGTCCAGTTGAAGGAGGTCGTGTTGGTCACTTGGTAGATTGACATGAGTTTGGCCAAGGAAGAGTAACGGCCAAACTCCCCAAGGACACCGGTCATCTGTGACTGCAGCAGTGCGTGAGGCATGGTGAGTTAACCCGTGTGTTGACTCAGCTCAAGGCAGCTGGGACCACAGCTCCAGCCAACACAACAAACCACCCATCAGCTGGGCTACCTTGGTTCCCCAGGACGCTGAAGAAGATGCAGCTGCCATTAGGAACCACCCCCTAAGACGTCTGCGGTGCAGCAGGTTCTCCAGAGACAGTGTCAGAGAGGCTCTGGGGAGCAGCTGCAGTGGGTGCATTGGAAAGAGGCTTGCTCGGGACCACACACACTCGTAACTCCTTGACACGCAGGGACCAGCAAGAGCCTCACAGGCAGGCTGGAAAGAAGGACCAGTCACTTGAAGCAAATGTCTAAAAGCCTCAGATGGGGGTTGAAATTGCTTTAATCCCACATGAACTTCTTTTTCTTTGTCCTCAGCTGAGTCCATTATTCCTTTGAGTTTCATAGAAGGTCATTCGTGGTCCTTTCAGCCTCTATTTCAAAATACCTGGTTCTTTTCAGTAGGAATATAAAGATGTGGGGAATCACTTTTAAGAGCAAACCCCAGCAATTATCCTAAGGTGATTCAGCACCTGGAAATTACATCAGAATTTGACTTTAGTCTCTCTCTTATTTTCTCTCTCTTATTGTCCAAACAGTAACTATGACTTTTGTTCCCAGTGTTTCAGCTTCAGTGAGAAAATGTTCGCTCTGGCAAAAGACAAAACTTGATAGCAGTAAAGAAGCATGCAAGTCACAAAGGATCCACTTGTATCATACACAAATAAAACAATTCATAGACCTGAATGTACAAGAACAATTCCCTAGACACAAAAATCTCTTCATACTTACCCTAGTGCCTTCCCTTGCTAGTATCCACTTCTAGCTATTTCTGGGGATTTTAGAACGTGTTGATCTTCTGTTGCTGTTAAGGGGAGCTTGTTAACTACGCGTGCTGGCGTTCATGGATGCGCTACGCACAGGAGAAAGTTGTTTAGAAACTCAGTTTCTCTGCAAGGGAAGCTGGTTTGTTTTGTACATGCCATTTCCATCAAGCCCCTTGGCTGTGTGCATGAATCAATGGACCTCATATGGAGCGAGGGATTAATAAGCAGAACTCTCAGCACTCTAAAAGGCTCCTGCAGCCGCCTCGCACAGTGACTGGCAGGCTGCTGAGGGCTGCAGCCTCGCTGCATGGCGGGTGGTGCTCGACAGCTGATTCCAGCAGCTCTCATCCAAGACGCGCTCTGTCACGCCAGCGGATTTCAGATGTAAACACCACCAAGCCACAGGCAGAGATCGACCGCCTGTTTTCCCACAGAAATTCTGAGCAGGGGACTTGTGTCTGCATGTCTGTCCATCCACACATTCCCATAAGTAAACCTGCTTCAGCTTATCAGCTTACACAGGTACACTGAGGAGCGTCACGCAGAAGACACCTCTCAAGGGTGCAGGGATGTTAAAACACTGCTGTGGGAAGTGTGAGTGGGAAGAAGGAATTAGGCAGGAAACAGAAGAACAAATCTTGGAAACAGCTCCTGGCTGCTTCTTGGGCACGGTTGTGAGTGAAGGAACCCTGGGAAGGGCAGAAAGTTTAATGAATGCTCTTGACTTCTGATGGAGCAAGGCAACCAGAATGCAACAGGGACACAATCACTGCCTCCACACTGGACTTCATTATCTCTATTCCATCTCCTCACTGTTTTTCCAAAGCTGATGGCCTGGGGAACATCCTCTTAGTGTTAGCCCAGGTCCTATTCTGGCTCCGTGACAAGACATGAACCTGGGGAGCTGCTGTGAAACGGAGAGCAGAGCTGAAATTGGGCAAGGGCCTCGTCCACCTCGTTTACGAGGGATGACTGACACCGAGCTTCTCTGCAGCAACGTCTCCCCGAGTCGGCTCTGCAGGAGTCAGACACACTGAACATTTGTATGAGCAATGGGAGGACCCAGAGCTGCAGAGCAGCCCGGCTCTCCACTCTCAGGGCATCAAAAGACCTCCGAGGTCATCACAGATCTACCACGCTCCTGGGTAAGCATGCAGGACCCCACACTTCTTTAGTGGCAGCAAAGGCCTGTACTGAGAGCATCCTTCTGTAAGGCAATGTATAGGAACTGCTACACTACTCCTGTAACAAAGAAACGTGATTTTAGGCAGCTCCAGATGAAACAATCTAAATAATACCACTGGGATGCTCACGGTACGCTGAAATGTCATCACTGAACTGAAGAGCTGAAGCTCTAGTATGACAGATGAAACCACTTACAGCCTTCCCTGCATCAATTTATTTTGAGTTCTTATGTCAGAATTTGTCTTTGCTGCCATGAGAGACAAGCTTTTAATGGAGGCTGAGTCTAAAGAAACTTCTGTAAATTACAAGTCAAATCTTTACATTTGAAAGAAACCTTGGACAGACTATGCAGTTAAGAAAAAGCCAAAACAAGCCAAAAGAGGCTTTCTGAAGCACCTGTGAGAAGACCATTTCTGAAGGCATGTGCCTAGGAGCAGCACATCTGGGCTGTTCTGGGGAGCAGTGGCCCTGCCGTGGCTGCTGGGTGGGGACAGCTCCCCTTCCTGCTGCTCACGGCCTCTGCCCACTCGCTGCACGGCCAAATAAAGGAGCCGATTCTGCTAAAAAATAACTAACGAAGGAAAAAAGATTTTTCAGCTGCATCAGGTTCCTGACCTGGGTTAGTGCTTAGTGCATGGCCAATCATTTGTTCACGCTTGTTCTTTCTAGGGAAGGGTTTAGGGATGATGAATTGAGAGAGTAACAGAAGAGCTTAAGAAGATGATGGAGCTACCACCTAACTTTCTAACAGAATTTGCTCTCATGTTTTGCGAGGCCGTATGCAGCACTACTGCCAGGACCTGTTGAAGCGCTTGCTCCTGGCCTCTGGCCGGGAGAGACCCCGGCTGCCGCAGAGAGGGACTTCCCGCTCTCCTCCAGAAACCTGTGTGTCTAAGAGTTGGTTCTTACCCCAAGAAGTTGAAACATTTGGTTTCATGCAGTAACAGATTTCAGCTTTCAGGCTTTTAAAATTAATACTTAATCTGAAGAATCAGAGAGAAAGATCCCACCCACCTCAACTTCCCACAGCTCCTCTGCTGCTGGGTGCACACAGGTTGCCAAATGCATCTCGCTGCTTTATGAACCTCCTGCTGGTGCTGGAATATTAACATTTCCTTCTAAAGACTTTCAAGACATCTTTCCAATATCAGCTGTCAAATAATTGCAATTCTGAACACAAATCAAGCTTTCATTCACTGAAAACAACAAATCTTTTAATAGCACCATATACACTGCAAGTACAAGTTATGAACCGTTCTGGGCAAAATATACATAAAAGGTGAGAAAATTGTCCCCACGAACGTCCCCTCGGGCCAGGCACGGGGGCGCGTGGCTCTGCACCCGCATTCCCGGTCACTGCGGCGCTCTGCACGGCAGCTCGCCCGGCTCTCGCCCGGAGCCCCACGGAGCCCCGCGCCGCCCGCACCGCCTCTTACCGTGGCGCCCGGCGCCGCGGGCCGCTCCGCAGCCCGGCCCCATGGGAGGGGGGCCGGCCCCGCTCCCGGCTCTGGCTCTGCTCCCGGCTCCGGTCCCGGTTCTGGCTCCGCTCCCGCCGCCGGCGCCGCCGGGTCCCCGCGCGCCCCCGCCCCGCCGCACGTGCGGCCCGGGCGGATGCGGAGCAGCCAATGAGCGCCCGGGGCGGGGCGGGGCGGGGTGGAAACTGCTCCCATTCATAAAACCCGGCCGCGAAGCGGGACCCGCGAGTGCTCTGCAGGGACCCCAAGGACCCCTGCAAACACCCTGCGGGGACCCCCACAAACACCCTGCAGGGAAGGTCCTGCAGCGACACTCCACTAGCATCCTGCAGGGACCCCTGCAAACACCTTGCAAGGACCATCATTAGCACCCTGCAAGGATCTCTGCCTCACTAGCACCCTGCAAGGCCCTCCCACTAGCACTCTGTAAGTATCCCCCCAACTGCAGCCTGTGAGCCCACCTACTTGCAGTCTACCCACCTACTTGCAGTCCTGCACCACCCGCCAGGGCCTGGTGACCCTGGTGCCCCACGAGCGCCCGGGAGTGCCTGGGAGTGCCCTGCTTGCGCCGCCACCAGCGAGGCCCCATGGAGCCTCCAGCCCCTTCCCATCCCTCGGGCCAGTGACCCCTGGGCAGAGTGGGTACCGCTCACCACAGCCTCCGCTACCGGCTCAGTCGGCTTCAGCTGAATGGCACTTCTTGTTTCCTTAGTTTTTAGCCTGGTTTTGTGGCTCTGTGCGCTCAGCACACCTGTCACTGACCCAAGCCTCAGGAACACCATCAGTCCCCAGGCAAAGGCTCCTTTAATGAGCAAGCACCAGCAGGAGCTAGTGATGCTCTTTTGGCCCCTTCCTGTGCCACCCATTTGTTTGCACTTGGACATGTGAGAGGGATCCAGACACAGAGACACGGTGAAGTCCTGGCTATGGAGAACTCTGCTGAGGATGCAGCCCTCGGGGTCCTGCAGGGCTTGGGACAGAGCAAAGGGCTCTTCAGCAGCTTCGTGTCAGTTCTCATTTAAAAAGTGTAAGGAACATCAGGTAGCTGCTTGTTGCCTGTAGTAAAAACTGCCTCAGCTCCTCTGGAGCGTGAACTCTGCAAGCTCCTGTGAAGAAGAAAAAGGACTTTTTCCTCCTTCTGGGCAAGAGACTCGTTTGGGCTCCAAAGCTGTTTGCAGGAGCGGGGGCAGCGGCTGGGCTGGTCGCCAGGTCACAGGTGCCGACGCAGAGCAGGGATTTGGGGCGGCCGGGGCGGCAGTGAGAGCAGCTCTGGGTCCCGCTCGGGCAGCGCCGGGTTCAGAGCGGCCGGGCAGGGCTGAGCAGGGCAGGGCAGGGGCCGGGCAGGGCTGGGCAGGACTGGGCAGGGCTGGGCAGGGGCACTGCGGGGCTCAGCTCCGTGCCGGGCGCTGCGGGCCGGGCCGCGCGCACTGAAGCTGCACCCGGGCACCACCACCCAAATCCTGCCTGGAGCGTCCCGTCCCCAGCTGGCAGCGCT